AGAAGAAGAAGAAGAAGAAGAAGAAGAAGAAGAAGAAGAAGAAGAAGAAGAAGAAGAGGAAGAAAGCAGCAGCTCCACAGAAGCAAGGGTGGTAAGCCCTTTACTTCCTTTTGCTTTTTGTATCAGTTGTTTGAAAAACACTAGAAGCAGACATGAGGTTTTCTATATACTGTCTAAGAACTTGATTTTTCAATTTTAGCCTCACATTTTCTTCCTTAACTGCATCTACTCTTGCAGAAAGATCTTCAAGTATGTGTTGAAGTTCCAACACCTGATTAATAAGTCGAGTCTTTTCTTCCAGTTCCACCTGATTTTCAGCATCAACTGCATCCATGTCAGCATTCATCATGTTGGGTAACAGACTTTCTGCTCTTGGATGCAAACTCTCTGATGAATGGTCTTCCATCTGAGGCACCAGGAAGGGGTGGGATGGGCAGGACACCTCAGGCCATGGCTCTCGATCCAACTGACTTTCTAGAATTTAATAAAAATAAAGGCACAACATAACCAAACTTACACAACACAATGAAAGCAGTGCAAAGAGGAAAGTTCATAGCACTAAATGCCTTCATAAAGAAACTGAAGAGAGCTCATACTAGCAACTTAAAAGCACAACTGAAAGCTCAGGAACAAGAAGAAGCAGACACCCAGGGGGACTAGATCCAGAAAATAATCAAACTCAGGACTAAAATCAATAAATTAGAAAAAAAAGAGAACAGTACAAAGAATCAACAAAACCAAGAAATAGTTCTCTAAAAAAATCAACAAGATAGACAAGCCCTTAGCCAAATCAACTAAAAGGCACAGACATAATATCCAAATTAACAAAATCAAAAATGAAAAAGGGACATAACAAAAGACACTGAGGAAATCCAAAGAATCATTAGGTATTACTTCAAACACCTGTATGCCACAAAGTTGGAAAATCTAAACAAAATGGATGATTTTCTTGATAGATACCACTTACCAAAGTTAAATCAAGACTAGATAAACAATTTAAATAGACTATTGCCCTATTGCCCTTAAGGCAATAGAAACAATTATCAACAGTCTCCCAACCAAAAAAAAAAAACCCCAAGGCTAGAAAGTCTTAGCACAAATTTCTACCAGACATTGAAAGAAGAGCTTTTACAAATACTCTTCAAACTATTCCACAAAACAGAAGCAACATTGCCAAACTCAATTTATGAGGCCACAGTTACCCTGATACCTAAACAGCACAAAGATGCAACAAAGAACAAGAATTTCAGACCAATTATTTATGAAAACTGGTGCAAAATAACAAAATACTCACAAACTGAACCCAAAAATACATCAAAAATATTCATCCACCATGATCAATGCGCTTCATCTCAAGGATGCAGGATTGGCTCAATACACAAAAATCCAACAGTGTAATTTACTATATAAATAAACAGAAAGAAAGAAAAACACATGATCATATCATTAGATGGTGAAAAAGCCTTTAACAAAATACTATACCCCTTCATGTTAAAAGTCTTGGCAAGATCAGGAATACAGGGTGCATAACACATTAAAGACAATATACAGCAAGCCAATAGCCAACATCAAATTAAATAGAGAGAAAATTAAAGCAATTCCACTAACCTCAAGGACAAGACAGGCTGCCCACTCTTTCCATATTTATTCAATATAGTACTTGAAGTCCTAGCTAGAGGAATAAGACAACAAAAAGACATCAAGGTGATACAAATTGGTAAGGAATAATTCAAAGTATTCCTATTCATATATGATATGATTACATAAGTGACCCCCAAAATTCTACAAGAGAAATCTGACAGCTGATAAACATCTTCAGCAAAGTGGCCAGATATAAAATTAATTCAAAAAAACAGTAGCCCTTTTTTATATACGTGATAAACAGGCTGAGAAAGAAATTAGGTAACGTGAAGTACCTTGCTGTGATTCTCAGCAAACAAATGAAAGAACTGTTTGGAAAAAAAAAAAAAAAACTTCAAATCTCTGAAGAAAGAAATTGAAGAAGATACCAGAAGATGGAAAAATCTCCTATCTTCATGGATCAGTAGGATTGACAGTGAAAATGGCTATCCTACCAAAAGCAATCTACAGATTAAATGCAATTCCCATCAAAATACCAACACAATTTTTAACAGACCTAGAAGGAACAATTCTCAATTTCATGTGGAAAAACAAAAAACCCAGAATAGCTAAAACAATCCTGTACAATAAAAGATCTTCTGGAGGTACCTCCATCCCTGATCTCAAGCTGTGCTATAGAGCAATAGTAACAACAATTGCATGGTACTGGCATAGAAGCAGACTGGTAGATCAATGGAATCAAGTAGAAGACTGAGAAATAAATCCACACACCTACAGAAACTTATTTTTTGACAAAGAAGCCAAAACCATACAATGGAAAAAAGACAGCTGGTCTAACTGGATGTATACATGTAGAAAAATGCAAACAAGTCCATATTTATCACCCTGCACAAGATCCAAGTGGATCAAAGATCTCAACATAAAACCAGATACACTAAATCAGTTAGAAGAAAAAGTGGGGAAGAGCCTTGACCTCATTGGCACAGAAGACAACTTCCTGAACAGAAAACCAACAGCCCAGGCTCTAAGAGCAACAATCAATAAATGGGACCTCATGAAACTGAAAAGCTTCTTTAAAGCAATGGACATTGTTGTCAGAACAAAACAACAGCCTACAGACTGGGAAAAGATCTATACCAATCCTACATCTGACACAGGGCTAATATCTAGAATATATAAGGAACTGATGAAGTTAAACCCCAACAAACGAAGTAATCCAATTTAAAAATGGGGTATGTGGTTGAACAAATGTCCTTGTTGTGTACTTGAGCATATTTTGGATATATGCCTAGGAGTGGTGTAGCTGGATCTTGAGGAAGTGCTATTCTTATTGTCTGAGAAAGTGCCTGATTGATTTCCAAAGTGGTTGTACAAGTTTACATTCCCACCAGCAATGGAAGAGGGTTCCCCTTTCTCTGCATCCTCTCCAGCATGTGTTGTCACTTGAGTTTTTGATCTTAGCCATTCTGATGGGTGTAAGGTGAAATCTCAGGGTCGTTTCGATTTGCATCTCCCTGATGACTAAGGACATTGAACATTTCTTTAAATGTTTCTCTGCAATTCTATATTCCTCTACAGACAATTCTTTGTTTAGCTCTGTACCCCATTTTTAAATTGAATTACTTGGTTTGTTGGGGTTTAACTTCATCAGTTCTTTATATATATATATATATATATATATATATATATATATATATATATATATATATATATATATATATATATAACTGGCATATATACTATAGATCAATTGTGATTTAAAAAAACTGCATAGTATTGGGAAAAAAACAGATGGTTTGGTCAATAGAATTGAATTAAAAAGCCAGAAATAAACCCACACATATACAGACACTTGATTTTTGACAGAGAAGCCAAAAGCATACAATAGAAAGAAGATAGCATCTTCAACAAATGGTGCTGGTCTAACTAGATGTCTACTTGTAGAAAAATGCAAATAAATCCTTGCTTATCACCATGCATAAAACTCAAGTCCAAGTGGATCAAATACCTCAACATAAAACCAGATAGACTAAATCTATTAGAACATAAAGTGGAACTTGAACTCATTGGGACAGGAGACAACCTCCTAAACAGAATACCAAAAACTCAGACACTAAGATCAACAAATAATAAATAGTACCTCATGAAACTGAAAACTTACTGCAAGGCAGAAAACATCATCAATGTGACAAAACAGCAGCCTACATAATGGGAAAAGATCTTCAACAACCTTACATTGAACAGAGGGCTAATATCCAATATATATAAAGAACTCAAGAAATTAAACACCAACAAACCAAATAACCCAGTTTTTAATAACCATTTAAAAAATGATGTACAAAGCTAAATAGAGAACTCTCAACAGACGAACCGCTAATGGCTGAGAAGCACTTAAGGAAATGTTCAGTGTCCTTAGTCATCAAGAAAATGCAACTTAAAATGACTCTAAGGTTTCATCCTACACCACCAGAATGGCTAAGGTCAAAAATTCAAGTGACGGCATATGCTGGCTAAGATCTGGAGGAAGGAGAACACACTCCTCCACTGCTGGTGGAAGTGCAAACTTGTACAACCATTTTGAAAATCAATCTGGAGGTTTCTCAGACAATTGGGAATAGTTCTCCCTCAAGACCCAATAATACCACTTCTGGGCATATATCCAAAAAATGTTCCACCATTCTACAAGGACACTTGGTCAACTTCGTTGATAGCAACTTTATTCATAATAGCCAGAAACTAAATCTACATGCCCCTCCACCAAAGAATGGGTAAAGAAAATGTGGTGCATTTACACAATGGAATACTACTCAGCTATTAAAAAACAAAGATACCATGCAATATGCAGACAAATGGTGGGAACTAGAAAAGATCATCCTAAGTGAAGTAACCGTGTATGGTATGTACTCACTTATAAGTGGATATTAGCAAGAAAGTACAGGATAACCATGCTGCAAACCACAGACCCAAAGAAGCTAAGTAGTAAGGAGGGATTAAGGGAGGATGCTTAAATCTCAGTCAGAAGAAGAAACAAAATAGATATCCGAAGTAGATGGAGGGAGAGAAATGGGTGAGAGAGGTGTGGGGAGGGTACTGAGGGTGCGGATTGAGTGTGGGGAGAAGATGGTATAAGATATAAGGTGTATAAAATATCTGAGGTGTAACGCCCTAAAGATGCTGATTTGTGTCTATTGCTCCCATGTGCTTCTAATTAATCCAAGAATGTTTAGAAGAATATTTCCTCCATTTTACAAAAACAAATACCGAAGATTAAAGAGGTTAAGTGACTTGTTCAGGAAGCTACAGCCACTCAATGGCAGGACTCTGAGCACATTCCTTTTTTTTATTTTATATTAATTACAGTTTATTCACTTTGCATCCCAGCTGCAGCCCCTTCTTTAATTCCCTCCCAATCCCAACCTCCCTCCCTCATCTCCTCCCATGCCCCTCTCCAAGGCCACTGATACTGAGGGTCTTTCTCCCCTTCCATCTGACCCTAGCCTATCAGGTCTCATCTGGATTAGCTGTATTGTCCTCCTCTGTGGCCTGGTAAGGCTGCTGTCCCCTCAGGGGGAGGTGATCAAAAAGCCAGCCACTGAGTTCACCTCAGAGACAGTCCCTCTTCCCCTTACTAGGGAAACCCACTTGGATACTGAGTTGCCATGGGCTACATCTGAGCAGGGATTCTAGGTTATATCCATGAATGGTTCTTGTTTGGAGTATCAGTCTCAGAAAAGACCCCTGTGCCCAGATATTGTGGTTCTGTTGCACTCCTTGTGGAGCTTCTGTCCATTCCAGGTCTTAATATCTCCC